CGACCAGTCCATTGGTATATCGGGTCAGCCCAATATCCTTTTCCTCTGGTTTGTTCTGTTGGCCTAGTTGGTGGTACCTCCGAGACTTCCAACCCAGAGGTTCTTGCCCGTCTGGCTACTAGGACCGGGTACTAGACCTAGGTATCCATTTCGCTGGGCTAGCCTTTACAGTAGGGCCATCGAAGATCTAGCTACCTCTCTACTCGGGTCTTCCCAAATAGACTTCTTGTTACCCAATTTCAACAGATTTACATAGCCACAAGGACTTATCTAGTGTTTGCACCACCCGATATATCGGTTTGCATTCCTCTGTGTAACTTCAACATTGCACAGATGTCCTATGACCTGCTAGTCATGCTGGTGTGACCACCATTACAGGTATCCTAACCCAACTATTAGTAACAGTTGTTGTAATATGAATATTACATAGGTGATTATCCAAATTTTCGCTATCGATAGGATTTGAACACCCAACCTACCACTTGGGAGGTTGAATGACCTGAAATATTAATTAGTATATAATATATAATTAATATGTAATTTTTAAATTATATAATAAAGAATAATGGGAATTCAGATATTTTTTTAGTGTTCAAAATTCAAGCTTTACACTAAATCTTTAAAAGATCACTAATTCTTTGACTAATATTATAAAACTCAATAATGAATATTCATGATCTTATGGCTACAGATAATGAAGAGGAAAATACAATTAATGAAATGATTAATAAAAGTGAAAAAGAAAATATAATTAGTGAAATATTTAGTAATAATGAAAAAAAAATTCAATTAGTGAAATAACTAGTAACAATGAAAGTGTAGTTAATGAAAATGATAAGTATAAAAGCCAAATAAAGAAAAGCAGACCATGCCATCTAGTTTAAAATTATGTTTACATGGAACAAGGATTATACTAGTATTATCTGTAGTATATGTGAATGACTATATAGTCCCGGTACAGGTGTTAGTACAATTAAAGGACATTTTATAAACTGTCATAAAAATAAGTGGAAGGAAATTGAGCAAAAAATGCTTTCTGTTAAGGAGATTGTGTCATATAATACATTAGATGAAAGCAAGATTGCAATTATTAATGCATTGCTTATACGATGAATTATTTGTGACCAGCAGCTATTCTCAATTGTTGAGGATGAAGATTTTATTATTCTTATAGCAGAGCTTAATTTCTGGTATAAATTACCAAATCGGCAAACAATTTCTAATAAAATACAATGGACTTATGAAAAGCAATGTAAAATAATTAAAGAATATTTTAGCAATCACAATAATAAAGTAGCACTTACTACTGATGTGTGGATGGCATGTACAAATCAAGCCTATATGTCTATAACTCTTTACTGGATTGATAGCAAATAGAAAATGTATCGTATTCTTTTAGACTTAGTAGCACTTCATGAGAGACATACAGGTGTTATGCTTACTAATACTACTTATACTACTATTAATGCTTTTGGTCTTGGTAATAAAGTTATAGCAGTTACTACAGACAATGTCTCAAATATGAATGTATTTGGAGATAAGCTTGCAAAGTTATTATTAGAGAATCATAAAAATACATATTTTGTCATGTTAGATGTGCTGCACACATTCTTAATTTAGTAGCAAGAGATGGTCTTAATGAAGCAGGGCTTTCAGTTAAAAAAGTTAGAGAATTTATAAATACTATAAAATCATCTCAAATTATGTTTGAAGAGTTAAAAAAATTTTTATTATGAAGAAATGTTCTATATTAGTACCAGAAACTGATACTAGTACTCATTGGAACTCAACTTATATCATGATAGAAAAATTATACAAAATTCAAGAAATTACAGATATATTAGTTGTATCAAATCCACAACTAAAAGATATATATCCAAATAATAAAGATTGGAAAGAACTTAATGTAAGTAATAAATTAATTAATTAATAAATAAATAAATAATAAAATTAATTTAAATTATTTTCTTTTAGGCTCTTATTAAATTACTCGAACCAATTTATCATGCTACAAATATTCTTTCATCATCAAGTTATCCGACACTTGGAGATCTTCATATGGTATTTCCTGTTATTATAAATACAATAAATGAAGTTCAAAATGAAAGTGGTACATTACAGCTAGTTGCGCAAAAAATGAAAAAAAAATTAGACAAATATTAGAATAAACTCAAATCAACTTTTTATAAGGCAGCAATTCTCGATCCAAATAATAAATTAATACCATTTGAGCATGAAAATATAAGTAAAGTGCAACAAATAATTTATGAAACTTATAGGACACATTATATAACTAAAAATAAAATTACTGAAGAATTACCCAAATCTGGATCTTTACGAGATTACTTTCAGCACCATCTTAAAAGATCATATGACATGTTTGCTGATAATAATAATTCTCTTAGAGAATATTTAAATTTACCTATTGAAGAAGTTGATATCCTTACATATTGGAAAGCCAAGTCTTTAAATTCTCGTTGGTCTTCACTTGCTTGTATAGCACGTGATTATTTAATAGTTCAAGCAACAAGTGTTGCAAGTGAACAAATGTTTAGTGTTGCAAAGTTTACTATTAGTCCAACTAGATGTTGTTTAGATCCTGAAAAAGCCCGTGCAGCTCTTTGTCTTAAAACTTGGTATATGGCAAATTTAATTAAAAATATAAAAAATAATTAATAATTAATAATATATGCAAACAACAAATAATTAATTAGCTTTTTTGATATAAATATTATATAGAAAATACATTTTCGCACTCTTTCTTGCAGATTCCTCAACCAAAATTTCCAAGAAGCAAACCATAAGAAATACGAAAACTGACACTAGAAAACAATATTTGGAGCTCTAAGAAAAGTTAAAGAGCTCTAAATGTTACATTTAGTTATTAAAAAAACAAAAAGAAAAAAACTTGGAAAAAGTGTACTGTCAACAAACAACAGTAGAAAAACAGAAATTTTCATCGAAATTTTTGCAAAAATTTTGTAAAAAGTGGGAATTGTCGTTATCTTGTTTCTGCAGATCAGTTTGGTTACACAAAGCAGAAAAATC